AAAAAATATATTAAAAAAAATATCTGTCCAGCTTTCCTAATGTCATTTATTGAAGACTGACTGTCTTTACCCCATTTTGTCATACTTTGTCATAGATTAATTGACCATATAGGCATGTTCCCCCCCCCCCAGGTTCTCTATATTGTTCCACTGATCTATATGTTTGTGTTTTTGCCAAAACGATGCTGTTTTGAATACTGAGCCTTTTAGTATAGTTTGATATCAAGTAGAATGATAACTCCAATTTTGTTTTTCTTTCTCAAGATTGCTTTGGCTATTCAGAACCTTTTGTGGTCCATGTAAATTTTAGGATTATTTGTTATAGCTCTATGAAAAATGCCATTGGTATTTTGATAGGGATTGCATTGAATGTGCAGAGGCTTGGGTAGTATGAACATTTTAAGGATGTCAATTCTTCTATCCATGAGCCTAGTAAATCCTTTCATTTATTTGTGTCCTCTTCAATTTCTTTTTTCAATGATGTATAGGTCTTTGACCTACTTGGTGAAATTTATTCCTAGGCATTTCACTATTTTTGATGCAATTGTAAATGGATTGTTTTCTTAATTTTCCCTTCTGATTGTTCATTATTAGTGTATAGGAAAACTATAAGATACTGAAGAAAGAAACTAAAGAGGACACAAATAAATGGAAGGCTATATACCATGCTCATGGACTAGGATTAACATTGTTAAAATGACTAACATTGATTACATGAACGATTAAATAATTAACATTGTTATATGACCCAAAGCTATCTACAAACTCAATGCAATTTCTATAAAAATACCAAGAACATTCTTCTCAGAATTAGAACAAATAATCCTAAAATTTATATGGAACTACAAAAGACCATAAATAATCAAAGCAGTTTGAGGAAGAACAAAGTTGGAGGTACCATGTTCCTTGATTTCAAATTATACTACAAAACTATAATAATCAAAACAGGATGGTACCGGCATAAAAACAGACACACAGATCAATGGAACAGGATAGAGAGCCCAGCAGTAAATCCTCACTTATATGGTGAACTAATTTATGAAAAAGGAGGTAAGCATATAGTAATGACAATCTTCAACAAGTAGTGTTGGGAAAATTGAATAGATACATGTAAAAAAATTAATCTGGACTATTCTCTTACACCATATACAAAAATAAACTCAAACTGGGTTAAACCTTAAACATAAGGCCTGAAACCATAACACTCCTAGAAGAAAACACAGGTAGTGAACTATTTGACATCAGTCTGAGTAATATCCTTTTGGATATGTCTCCTCAAGTAAGGGAAACAAAGGCAAAAATAAACAAATGGGACTTCATCAAACTAAAAAAGTTTCTGCATAATGAAGGAAACCATCAAAACAAAAGACAACCTACTGCATGGGAGAATATATTCACAAATGGTATATCCAAAAGACATAAGAAGCTCATACAGAGAAAACAATCCAATCAATAAACAGAGACCATGAAAAGCATTACTTCAAAGAAGACATACAGATGGACCATCAGACATATGAAAAGATAATCATCAGGGAAATGCAAATCAAAACCACAATGAGATACTACCATATACCAGTCAGAATGGCCATTATCGGTAAGTAAACAAGTAACTTGTGTCATCAAGAATGTGGAGAAAAGGGAATTTTTGTGCCATGTTTGTAGGATTGCAAAGTGGTGTAGCCACTGAAAACATGGAGATCCCCCAAAAAACTAGGTAATACCTTATGACCCAGCAATTCCACTTCTCAGTATTATTTGAAGAAATCCAAATATTAATCCAAAAAGATATTTGCACCTTTATGTTCACTGCAGCATTATTTACAACAGCCATATGAAAACAACTTAGGTGTCCATTTATAGATGAGTAGATAAAGAAGATGGGGTATACGTACACACACAATGGAATATTACACAGCAATAAAAATAATGAAATCTTGCCAGTTGCAACAACATGGATGGATCTAGAGCAGTGGTTCTCAACCTTCTGGGCCTTTAAATACAGTTCCTCATGTTGTGACCTGGACAGCATATGCTGTGCAGATGTTTCTTCCCTGCAGCGACTGTGTCAAGCAGCAAGGACAGACCAGCTTCCGGCAGTGCCCCAACCATAAAATTATTTTCGTTGCTACTTCATAGCTGTAATGTTGCTACTATTATGAATCATAATGTAAATATCTGATATGCAGGATGGTCTTAGGCGCCCCCTGTGAAAGGGTCGTTCGACTGCCAAAGGGGTCGCGACCCACAGGTTGAGAAATACAAATACATATAGTTTCACTTATATGTGGAATCTAAAAAAAACTACAGACAAAACAAAAGCAGATTTATAGACACAGAGACCGAGAGATGGCTGGGAGGGGTACGGAGATGGGTGAAAAGGGAATACAGTCAATGATGTACAGTGACAGGACTACTAGAATTAGTGGGGTGATCACACTGTAAGGTATAAAAATGCTGAATCACTATATTGTGCATCTGAAACGAATACAACTGATGTAATATTACCAACTATACTGAAATTTAAAAAATAATAGC